TAAGGTTTTTGATGAGACAAAAACTGACGTTAAAGGTTTGATATATTATGGGATTATGAATATCCCCAAGATCTTCTTTCGACTGTCGGAAGAGCATTTTGTCGATTCAAACCATTCATAGATCGATTGTCAAGAAACAGTCATTAACTTGGACGACATCTATAACGATCAGCATAAGGAGAGTTAACTAGCTGAAGTATGCATCAAAGAGATGGGATTTCTTTCAAGATGTGAAGCATGTGATTGTTAAGTTTTAAGTTTACTATATGTGCTTCTATGTATAAATTACTGTGTATAAAAAGTTATCCAATTAATTTGACCTAGTTAAAAAGTGATATGATACTGTTAATGGTATTTGGATTTTAATACATCAAATTAAAGTGTCGACTTTATTTTTATGTGTAGAGACCAAATCTATAATTTTTAACTTTATGATGAGTTAAATTAAGAATGTGAAAAATTGACGTACATGTTTGTCTATAAATAGGCAGTTATAATCTCCAAATTATACATATGGTTTTTGTATTCTGATATTTCATTATCAGAAATATAGAGAGTGAGAAAACTCAAAATTATGTACTAATTTGAAATATTTACCATAAGATATGTAAATTTTTTTTGCTATGAATTCATATACATTTCTGTTATAGATTTAATTTCTTTTATTTTCTATGAGCATGGTTATTTATATCCAAATCTAGTTTTTAAAATTCCTACAGGGCCCCCCCTAGAAATTATGGAAGACATGATCAAAGGGATTTCGGGATTTCATGAGGAAGATACTGAGATGAAGAAAATGTTCTGCTCCAAGAAAAGTTAGATTCTTCTGCAACTACGACCTATATGGATCTAAAGTAGCTAATTGGAGTAACTCATTAAGTATCAATAATCTTGACCCTGAAGAACTACTAGCAATTTGCAGGTAATTTATATATATATACATATTTTATATGTTTCTGTAAAAGATTCAATGAGTTTTATTTTTTTTAACTAAGAATTTATAATATTTTTATTAGAATCCACAACCTTTCATTGAAAAATATAATACAATATCATAGAGATCCTACTATTGAATATTCTAAATATGTGAAGGAGCTGAGAAGTAGTCTTTTCGGATTGATATCAGAAGCGTTGGGGCTAAAAATAGAGCATTTGAATGCAATAGAATATAATAAATGACATAACTTTCTGTGTCAATACTACCCATCATGTCCCAACCCAGAGCGTATCTTTGGAATCAACATCCATGAAGATTTATCTTTTCTCACCATTTTTCTTCAAGATCAAATAGGTGGTCTACGGGTATTCCATGAAAATCACTGGGTCATTGTTCAACCTATTCTAGGAGCTTTGGTAGTAAATATAGGAGATCTTCTTCAGGTTATAATACTTAATTTATTTTTTGTTATAATCTTTTTAATATTATTGATTATGCAAATCATGTATTTACTTTGTTGAATGTTTGAAATTTGTTTAGATTATTTACAATGGGAAATTCAACAGTGCTTAGCACAGAGTTGTTGCTAATAATGGTGTTATTCCAAGGATTTTCGTGGATTGTTTCTTCAATGGAGATCTTCGAAGCTTTATGGTCCAATCCATGAGCTAGTAGTATCAAAAGACAATCCACCATTTTACAAAGACAATCATAAGTGATTTTGATACTAGGTTTCGATAGGGGGACTTGGTACTAAAATCAGAGACTTCTTCAAGTTATGATGTTTGTTTTAAATGCTTAATTAATTAAAATATATACGTATATATGTATATGTGTAAGTGATTGGAAAATACTTTAATGAAATAAAGAGTTCTTGAATTATAATCACTTTATTGTAAAGGTTGTGATGTGAAAAAAAAATGTAACAATATTGATTATCACTTCTCTAACACAAAATACACTTGTACTACCATGTTTATATAATAAAAAATAGAGTATAATGATCATTTTTTCATTGTTATGGTGTAAAGTAGTTTTAATGATAAAGTTATTTACTATTAATTCTGAATCTATCAGTCCTTTAAAATTATAAAAATTCATCATAAAATTAAATGAGTTTTTATTCAAGAAATTACATTTGAGACACTCCTTATAGTACATAATATTATTGATATGTCTTACTATTAGCCAAGGGAGAGTATGGCTATTGCCAAATATTTCTAACTAATTCTAAAATTTGTTTTTGAGTTAAAATGCAGAAGATAACAGATTTTTGAGAATGTTCAATCTCTGCTATTAGCTTTACCTTTACCATAATATCAATAAAGATGATGAGGTTGAAAGGAGAATGATGTAAATATCATTTTTTTAGCAAAATTAAAGACCTCTTTTTCTTCCTTGAGTTCTCTAGATCACCACATCATGAAACCCAATCTTCTTGATTTTCTTTACTTACTACAGCTTTTCCTTACATATGGCACTTATATATCTAACTGTAGAGGCATTTGCAAACCTCTACAGTTAAGAGATTAAAAGTTTTATAGTTTTGACTGAAAAGAGAATTTGGGTATTTTGGGTGATCAAAATTGGGCTAGCAGATTGGAAGTATTGGGCCACTATTATTTGAATTGTAGTTTAGATATAAGGAAAGATTTAGGTGGGTTTTTCGATTTTTATATAAATGAGTTGCATGATTAGGAATTTGGGCGCAATTCCCTTAGATATTATTGGGTCGTCTGAGGGATAAGATTACGATGTTTTAGAGAAATCAAGATTTTCTATAGGAGGTTGCTTGAAGGTAACTAATGCTGGGGGGGCTCACTTCATTCAATGTTGCTGAAGAGAGATCAATGTGGGACTTTAACGACATTAAATATGGCCCCTATCTAACTCATCTTTATGACTGGATTTCCTCCCTAGACATGATTCTGCTAATGCACGATTGTCTTCCTTGATTTGGTCAATGAAGATAGTTTTTTCCTCGAAAAACGAAGTAGACCCTATTTACTCATTATTAGAGTTTACGTGATATCATATAC